TTGGGAGTTTCCCAAAATTAGGGGTACCTAGTATAATGGAGAATGAAATGGAAAAGAAAATGGAAAATGAACTGGAAACTGGGTTTATATAGGGGATTATAGGGATTAGGGTTTCCCAAAATAAGGGGTACCATTTTGGCGGTCCCCATGATAAGGACCATAGTATATTGGGGTCTATATTGGGGTCCCCTTAATTGGGGAAAGTACCATGTATGACAAGTGAAGTTCCTACGGTGTAGGTAGAATTTTTGTGTGCCTCAGGTTGGAGAGAATTGGGCAAGGGTTGTATACTACCTTCGCCAGAGTATTGCAAACCTTCTTCCCATGACATCAAGCATCCCACAATAGGAGCGCTCAAGTCTGATTTCAACACATGGCCTTGTTCGCCTCAGCAGGGTGCATAACTCACCAGTAGTGTTGCGGTAAGTTTCAGTATTATGAGGCTTCTTCTTGTTGGGTCTATGATGAGTGTGGTACTATCCTTTGTAGAGGCATGACTAGTATCATGTCCACTCCTCTTCACGGTGAAACATCCCCCGAACTTAGATTAAAGTACAATGACCTTGATATGTGCTGAAGTACATGGTCTCCATTTTGGTATCTCAATGGAGGTTCCCTAAGCCCCAAACCCGGTAACCCTATACCCCACACCTCAAACCCTACAGCCCACTCCATAAACCGCATACTCGAAGCCCTAAAGCTCCCCATACCCCACGCCCCAAACCCTAAAACCCACTCCCCAAAACCCCAAGCCCTAAACCCTAAACCCTTCAACCCTAAACCCTTCAACCCTAAACCCTTCAACCCTAAACCCCTCAACCCCTACCCCCTTAAATCCTTTCCGGTTCATCCGTAAAAGGCCTTTGAAGCTCCGTTGCCGGCCAGCTGGTCCGAACACCTGGACCAGGAGCGGCGGATCTACTTCTTCAACCAGGCGAATGGGTTTGACTCATCATAAAGGATTCAAAGGTTTAGGGTTGAGGGTTTTTAGGGTTTAGGGTTGACTCATCATAAATGATCAGTTATACTGGGATAATGGAGAAGAAAATGGAAACTACTATAGTATGGGGTTTAAGTTTTCGGGTTTAGGGCTATATTGGGATAATGGAAGAGAAAATGGAAACTACTATAGTATAGGGTTTAAGGTTTGGGGTTTAGGGGTATATTGGGATAATGGAAAATAAAATGGAAACTATTATAGTATAGGGTTTAGGGTTTAGGGTTGTATTGGGATAAAAAGATGGAAGCTACTATAGTATAGGGTTTCAGGTTTATCCTCAGGGTTTGGGGGTCATATTCAGCTCCGTCTCAAAGGGACCCTATAGGCATGTGAGCTATTGTTGATATTAGTATTGCCAGGGGACCACCATGGGTGGACCCAGGTCCCTTCTGTAGCTTAGTATAGTCCCAAATTCATTCCCTAAAAGGAACCCATCCATGTCTATTAAGTATATGGGACATGTTGACTTTGGTGCATATGGGGGCTATCAGAGACGAGTGGAGTTGCTACTACATAAGGGTATATTTCGAGAGAGACTCCTACAGGCTCCTTGAGCTGTTGAAATCCACCCGTGGCCCCCTTTCCTCGCAGAATTCCCAAGATCACTGCACTTTCTGTGTTTGAGAAGCTTACTTTTGCCCTCCACTTTCCAGTCAAGGATAGGGTTGGAGTAGAAGAAGGGCGGGGGATTAAAAATAGATTCCTACTGGAAGAGCAAATGGAAACTACCAATCCCAATATAACCCTATGTTACCTTATATTACCCTATCTATTCGTTTTGCGAGGTCACGCAGCAAAGCAGCTGGTCTCATCCCATGGTCTCGGCCTGAGTTTGGGCTGCCAACTCAAGGGGTCGAGGTTCAAATGCCACAGGCAACACCAGGCTTTGAAGGAGCGTGGGAGCACCCTCTAAACAGTACTTTCCTTTTTCCATTATATTACCCTATATTACCTATATTGCCCTGTATTACCCTATATTGCCTTATATTACCCTATATTACCCTATCTTATCCTATATTACCCTATCTTATGCCAATATTACCTCCCCCTGGGTTACTAACCCTAAGTCCAAAGCCTGTTGAATCCTACCCCGGCCCTAAATCCTAAAACCTGAAGCCAGCGGACTCCGGATGTCAGGGGCCTGGCTCAATGTAGGCTCAAAGTAGGATTAGGGTTTATGGGTTTAGGGATTCAGGGGTTGAGGGGTTTAGGGTTTAGGGTTTAGGGCTTTAGGGGTTTAGGGTTTAGGGTTGCTGTTTTAGGGTTTCAGGGGCCCATACAGGCAGAGATCTCCATATGATCCAAGGATGAGGTCTTCCGTGACCTTGTACATCTCATCAAGTCGGTCAGGCTCGGTTGGGGAGGGGAAGCTAAGCAGAGAACTTTGTTTTGGGACTCCTGGTATACTGGGATCTTGTTTTCCAGCTGATTCTCAAGTCTTGGAGTATCCTTAAAACTTTCATGTGGTCCTTAGTACCCCCTAGATAGTCCCTGTAATCTTCAGAAATATCTAATTCTGGTGCCTGAGCCCTAAAGCTGAGACGTCTACACCCGACACCCGGCTAAACACTCAGCAGGCGGCTGGATCCGCCCGAGGCCTCCGTTGTGGAAGCTGCTTCGCCCTTAGTTCTACAATATCAAGAACAATAAAACAGACATCTGAACAACAACAGTAATAAGCATAATAGGAATATTAGCAATAGTAAAGCAAAAGTACTAACAATAACAGCAGCAGTAATCATAACAACAATTACAACAAGAATCATATTCCAGATCTTTCACAATAAGAATAATAATGAGTTTCCAGATCTTTCTTGAGGCATTACTGATTGAGGTGCAGGCGCATTTGCAGAGCTGCCACGATCGAGCTTCGGCCGCCCTGGAGGGCTGGAGCGGGCCGGGGGCATACTGCAAGCTTGCTTACCATAGGGGTTTTGATAAGAAGGGGGTTTCATGGAGTACCCATGTGGGTTGGCCTTGAGGCCCTATGCTGCAGAAGACGGCGAGTACTTCTATCATTCCGAGCATGGTGTCAGTTTCGGCCTCGGACATGCCTTCCGCAAGACATGCCATGATGATAGCTGATGGTCCTGCTAGTGCTGCGGCAAGGCACCTGGCACAATCCTGTCGAAGAGTGGCAGACAGAACTGTCGGTTAGACAGCAGGCAGTTTTAGAAGTTTCGCTGCGTTCTGCATTCAACACCGCGATGATGCTGAGATATTTCAACCGGAGGTGCTTCACCGATGTTTACTGCACGAAAGCCCTCCAAGCAAGGTGCCTGTGCCATCCTGTGCCAGTGGCTCCTGTTGATGGCATATGCTAGCCTTCCGCACTTCTTCTCATTGATTCATTATGTTACATCGTTTCTTTCCAACATCTTCGACCTTGAGGACTCAAGCGAGGTTTGATTTTAATGATGGGAGGAGCAGTTCTGGAACAGTTTCCACAGTGGTTTCTGATGTAGATGCGGATGTTGAGCTCACGTTATCAGTCCTTTTGCTCAGGGGCGGACGGCCCATGAGACATGGAGGAATCCCTGTGTCTATAGATGAGTAGGAAGTGATGAGGCAGTCATGACCGCAGAAGAGAGAAGGCGACAGGAGACCGAGGTGCTACGACCACCCTTGCTGCTCGCATGCAAGTGCAAACTGCCAGCCACCACAGTTGACCGCCCATTGGGATTGAAGCATGTCATCATTGCAGCTTTTGCTGCAATTTGCCCAGCGGCTGGTGGCACAGTTGGGTTTACAAAGCGCAGGACAAACATCAGAGAATATTAGAGACAACACCCTGGCTCATTTTTTGCTGATGTCGCTGCTGCTTGCCTGAGGATGTTTCTTGTGACAGGCATCCAAAGGTGCTCGTCCGCCAACCGGAGCCAGGCAGATGATTTGTCAGTCAGACTGCATGATGCGCATGATGTTGAAGTATTATTCGTTCTGTTAAGTTGCATCTTCTAGTCGTTACCCTAAATCCTGAAGCCTAGTAGCCCTCAGCCCGTGTAATATCCGCAGTTTCATTCGCAATGTGATTCTGCAGGGATTCCACGCCACCGGTGCTCCCCCTGCACCTGGCGAGGCCCCCGACACCGCGATGCAAATGGGAGTTCAAGGGGGATATATAGGGGATTGGGTTATTTAGGGGGGATACTAGGAGTTTAGACTGTAGCTCACCTGGGATCATGCCCCTGACCTGGTCCTGATGGTATTTCCCTGCGGGTGTCCGTTTGATCTCATCCACCCAACCCCACAGTTACCTAAACCCTTAACTCGAATCCCTCAACCTTAACCTGAAACCCCAAACCCTAAACCCTAAAACCCTAAACCCTAGTTGCAGAACCCACCTGGTTCCTTATCAACACCATCTTCGGAGGCCCAGTGCTGAGGGTGCCACGCCGCCCTCGCCGAGCTCAGCTAGGCTCTGGGCTCAGGGGTGCAGGGTTTGGTGGGTTGGGTCTGGAGATGTTTAGAGTTCGGGGGGTTAGAGTTTAGGATTTGGGGATTTCTTGTGTGCGTTGAAAGGACTAGGACATGATCATAGGATAATACTACAAGGTTCCTGAAAGTAGCTTTTAATTTCTGTTACCTAGAATCCTAATATTTAGCTGAAATTATAATTTCTACTGGGGTTCCAAATCCCTTAGAGAATAGCACTTGATGTTGGCAGGTCATTTGCTACCTGCATCTCCGCAAGATCAACCTCGGCCTCGACCTCAGAAAGCCAGGCAAATCTTGGATAGAGATAGGGTTAGGGTTTAGGGTTTAGGGTTTAGGTTTCCATTTTCTTTTCCATTATTCCCATATACCCCCAATATAATCCCAATATACGACAGTAGTTTCCATTTTCTTTTCCATTATTCCCATATACCACCCCATTATTGATCCTAGCATGCCTGCCCCAGTTGGGTCGGGGTAAGAAGTCACGAAGTTTGACTGCTGCGTCCAGATCACTCCTCGCAGCCGCCGGCCCTCCCTGAGTCCCAGTGAGGCAGGGGAGGAATGGGGTGGTATTGGGATAATGGAAAAGAAAATGGAAACTACTGTAGTATATTGGGATTATATTGGGGGTATATGGGAATAATGGAAAAGAAAATGGAAACCTAAACCACAGCAAAGTGCAGACCGCGTCTGCTGTTGTCGGACGGTTTGGGGGAGATCCGCTTTTCGCAGGAAGGCGCATATGTGCTAGTTTCCCTAAATAAGGGGACCCCAATATAGAACCCCAAATACAACAATCTTTGTTATAGGGAACTGTCATGTAACGTCCTTCGCTGCCAACTTGCAGGCGCCCTCCAGGAACAACTCCAAGCAAAGAGCGCCGGCTTCCCAGCAAACCAGTTTTCTGCTGTTTTAAGAACCATAGATTTTTTTCCCAAAGTTATGGGCCCCTGTTGGTTCTAGATTCCGGCACCTAATATCTAGGGGTACCAAAATGGGACCCTGATTAGGGGAACGACCCAAACAGTCTTCCGTGTCAAAGCTCTAAATCCCAAACCCTGAACCCTCAACCCTAAACCCCAAACCCCAAACCCTAAACCCTCAACCCTGAAGCCTGAACCCAAAATTCCAAACCCATGTAGGCAGCCTCTGGAGAAAGCCCCGGAGAACGGCAGCAAGGAAGGGGAGGGAGGCCTTGCTGGGATGCAGACTGTGCCCTTTCATGAGCTAGAGTCTGTACACTCCTTAAAGGGGGCTATTATATAGGGGGTTATACTTTCTATAGCGGAGTATTATAGGGCTTATTATGGGGGATACTATGAGTATAGGCTATAGCTCTTATGGGTCAGTGAGGTGTGGAATGCGTGATCCAGCAAGCTGATACCCACTGCAACGAGCCACCTAATTATTTGTACATTGGATCGGTTTGTGGATGGGATCTCAGCCCTCAATCCAATTCGACAACATCTACTGCTTGTCAGTAGGGAATAAGAAAATCTAATCCTTATATAATCCCTATACAATATATTCCCCTATTCCCTACTAACTACACCCCCGTAAGCCTATGAATCTCGTGCAATGAAACCGTTGACTTCATTTTCTCCAATACCTGTCTGGAACAGGACAGGCTTCGGACCCTCCCGGTTCCAGGTGCACGGTGCGTGTTGGTAGGTCATGGGAGGGTGGGCGGGAAAAAGTAGTGTGCTGCCGTTGGCAGAGGATATGGCAAGCCATTTTAAGAGGGCCTCTCGCAGCAAAGAGCCTTGATTCGATTTGCGAGCTCATTTTGGAGCTGTTGAGAGGGCTCTTGACCATATCCTAGTCGTTCTGCCATGTTCGCAGCATAACCTGGACCAACTTTTGGCTTTCAATCCTGGATGACTGGCGGTCGAAGATCGGTAGAGGCTGCATGAACTGCTGCCCAGCTGTTGCTCCTCAAGGATGTTTAGACTGGCCAGGACAAGCTGGCGGTGCAGCTGAACCGCTACGCAGCAAACAACATGCATGTGCTAGTCCCTAGTATTGGTCTTGGTAGTAAAATGCCACACGAGATATTCATAGCAACAATAGATCGGGTAGGCTAGGCAAATTCAGGACAGATGACACCAGGGATCTAGCTGTGGAAATCTTTGGCAGAGCCCTCAACAGCCCTGAGCTCTCTACAAAAGCATTTTCAATTCTACAAGATTTCCCATGCAGCTCTCAGCAAAGCTTAGGCACACATCAAAACTTGCGACCTCTCCACTTGGGATTTCTCACAATTGGTTTCCTCTTCTGTGTTTTTTTTCTTCTGGGGATCCTTTGGTCTTTAGGGGACTGAGATCCTGAGTTTGAGATCCCTTCTAGAATCCATATCTTATTCCCACGCAGTTCCTATCAAGCCCCACAGCCCCCACAAGGGGATCTGAATCTGCGAAACTTCCAACTCGGCCTAGCCCGTCTCGGTATGCTGCAAGCGCCCATCCGCTTCTACGCAGATGCCCGCGACCGCGCTGAAGAAGGACAGTTGCTGTCCGTAGAAATGGGGGTTTCCCAAAATTAGGGGTACCTTTTTGGGGGGTCCCCATAAAAAGGACTATAGTATTTTGGGGTCTATATTGGGGTCCCCATATTTTGGGAAACTACCAAGTATTGGGGTTATATGGGGATAATGGAAAATCAAATGGAAAAGAAAATGGAAAATAAAATGGACACTAGGGAATATATGGGGGTTATACTATTAGATGAGTTTCCCAAGGTGATTACCACATAAACCTCAAGTAGATCTTTTTGCCTTGCCCGTGTAATCTCTATATCTAAGGGTCTGTAGGAGTTTCCCGTTCTGAGAACTACATACGGTGAGCCAAGGGTGTCAGAATGCCAGATGCCTAGCAGGCTACAAGCAGCGGCTTCCTCGGGGTCTGGAGACCGGCGGGGAGCGATCAGGTGCCACGGCAACTATGCAGGATAATGTTCACTTCGTATTATCAAATCCCCCCCCTCCTCGATTGATCTATCTCCGTCCCGGAAGACCCCCGGAATGATAATGCCAGAAATGTACGTTTGAAAGCTTATTGGAGTT